GTGTAGCAGCGCTCGCCTTTCCAAGAGATTGAGAAGGCGTCCATGGCGACGACGCTTGGATGCGGAATTTTGGAGCAAAAGCGTTTCAGTTTTTTTTTGTTGGTGTTGGCAAATAGGTCGATTGTGTGTGGGCCCCATCGACGCTTCAACAAGAGGAACCAAGGCGTATGCGGGGAGTAGTCGTCGTGGTCCTCGACCTTAGATAATTCGTCTGCGTGGGCATTCAGCTCCCTTGGGATCCATTCGATTGCGAGGCGTGTGTGGTTCCCGAGGCAGAACTGTATGATCGCTTGGCATGTCAGAGTTAACCGAGGTTGGCTAGACCCCCCTTTGCGTAAGATGAACATGACTCCTTGGTTGTCCACGCGCACCAAGACATGGCTGGTTACGATACGGGCTGAGAATGTCTGTAGCGCCCACAGGACTCCCTCGAGCTCTCTTTAAGTGCTTGAGGTTGGGAGGAGCCCGCTCGGCATGCTGGCGCTTGCCTCATATGATGTGTCGGTAAACTTGGTGAGGGTGGCACCCCAGCTGTGTTCACTGGTGTCGACGTGGATGACAGCATCAAATTGATGCCTGAGTTGGAACGGGGCACCGTTGAATTGGTCGAAGTGCAGCTGCCAGAAGATTAGCTCTTCGATGGCGACTCGTGGCAGCCGAACCTTTGAATGCCAGGACGACGTTGCATCGATCAACTGTAGCAGCTCGTGGATGAAGGCGCGTGCCGTCTTGCCCAATGCTAGGGACATGGAGCTCAGCATTCCCGTGATACGAGCGACTTGTCGAATTGGGACTTGTTGTCCAAGGTGCCCTTTGGAAATAGGTGTGTTGAGAGTGCTTAAGAACTGCTCCCGCCGTTCTGATCCGATTCTAAACATGCCGCATGTCGTTTCAAGTTCCAGTCCCAAGAAGCGTGCCTGATGGGACGGCTGCAGGTGCGACTTCTTTTTGTTTATCACGAAGCCTGCTGCTCCCAGGTCATGGATGACCTCTGTGCATGTCTTGCGTGCCTTTTCCTCGGAGTCACAGAGGAATAACATGTCGTCGACGTAGGGAACCACTCGCACGCCGCGTGCGCGCCATCGTTCGGCTAGCTGCTTTATCGGCTGGGTGAATATGAAGGGTGCTGTCGCCAACCCAAATGGCAAGGATCGGAAACAGTAGAGTTCGCCTTCGAATTGGAATCCTAGGAACTTCCAGCATGAGGGGTGCATCTCGACGTGATGGTAACCTGATTTGAGATCGATGGTGAACAGCCAATCGCTGCGACGAATTAACTACGAGACTCTATTCAAGCCCTCGTACTTGAATTTCGGAACTTGAAGGTGTTAATTGACCTTGCGTAGGTCGAGAATGAGGTGACACTTGTCGCGTTGTTCCACCACGTTGAGTGGGCTTACGCACGAGAGCGTGGATCGCGGAGACCTTCATCGCAGCTCCCGATGTAACGAGGTCACGAATGGCCTCTCGTGTGAAAGTCCTGTGTGCGTGCACACCTGCGTGGTTTGCAGTTTGAAAGGGTGGCGGTGCTGTGGTCTTCCACGGCGGCCCTTTGCGATTATTGAGTTGATAAAACTGCTCTCGCACCATGATACCCACCAGTGGAGTTGGCTTCGCAATCGGTTGCGCATGAGCTTGATCGCTTCGTCCGTGACTGCGTCTTCACAGGGGTCCCATTCCAAGTCTCGCCACTCATCATCCGCCCCTGCACTTTGGGGCGACCGGGATAAATTGCAAAGGGTGGTTAGCTGTTGGTCATGGGAGAGCCTCAGCGGCTTGTTCACGAACTCAGGTTTGCCTCGCCTTTTGTGTGTATCACGGTGACCTTCATCTTTGAGGCCTTTCTTTCTTCCTCCCTTTTGTGTGTATCAACGTCTTTCTGTCATCAATTTCTTTTTCTGCTTTTCTCGCTCCTTTCCCTATTTGGTTGTGGGACCATTCATGTTGGAAAAGTGGCAGCTTGGCTAATAACTCTGTCATCGGGTTTTTTTTGTGTTTTTTTTTTTTATAAAATCAAAAAAAAAAAATTACTCAACTCCATACGTGGGTACATGGAATGGTCTTCACCCTTATCCACCCCTACGGCTAGGGATTCCTACGGCCCTCGGCCAATCATATTTCTCATGGCTAACTACCAGCCACGCACCACCGGTGCTTCCACCTACGCCCCTCGGCATAGTGGCGAGGGGCGCCGCCCCATGTGCCTCCTCACACCACGGGTGAGGGACCTTGAGCGCCTCGCCCTCCCATAGGGCAAGCATTTGCCATATGACCAGGCTGGCCACAACGAAAGCACACCCCTTTGAAACGGGTTTCATTGCTGTTTGCGGGAGGCATGCCTTTTCCTTCCGTGTCGCCATCCCGGATGGGCATACGGTAGCCACGGGTGTAGCCGGCGCGAGCACGCTTGAGCGCCGCCACGTCGGCGACCGCGAGCTTATATGAGCGGGAGGTGAGGACACTCTTGCTCTGGTACAGCTGAAAGCGATCGGCAGCCTCGAAACCGGCCTCGTCCGCCACCAAGAGGACTTCGAAGCGCTTGTTGATGAGCGTCTCGATTTCCACAACGTTGGAAAGGGCGCCTTCGATATCGCCGTGCTGGAGATTGAAGTCGAGGTGCTTCAGGAGTTCCTGGATGGCAGAAAAAACCCCCGCCTGATCGCGCACACCTTTGTGCATGAAGGTGGTGGACGCGGGTGTGCGGTTGAGGGGTGGGAGGGGGTGCGGGTGCGATAATGCGACGACGGTTAATGTTGTTGGGGGCCTCACCATCGTCATTCTCGGAGTCGTCGCTGTCCTCTTGAGCAGCAATCGGCGCAGGTGCAGGATCAGGAATCGGTGCGGCAGTGGTTTCGTTGACGCGCGCCGCCTTGTTTGTGCGAGGGGAAGCGATGACTTCTTTCTTGTTTTCAATTTTTGCAGGTGCTGAAATATAGTCGGAAGAAGATGCGGCTGTAACTGGTGCCTGCTGCTGTAACATCGAGAGTAGGGCCTGCAGTTGCTGCGCAGTGATGGAAGCGAGGGCGTTGGCTGGGGCGGTTTCCGCTGTATCTTTCAACGGAATTGGGGGTGACGCTCCGTTTTGCCTGGGGTGACGCTCGGGGGTGACGCTTTCAGGAGCGTCACCCTGACCCGGGCAGAAAAAAACTAAAACCCATATGGACCGGCATGCCATTCGGGAGCCTAAACCCTAAAATTTTAGGGTTGAGGCTCCCGAATGGCATGCCGTCCATGTGGGGTTTATTTTTGTTGCCCCGGGCAGTTTGTCGTTTTGTCGTCTGCTCTTTATCATTTCCTCGCCCCTCCATTCCGTTGAGATATACTAGGCTGACGCAGCTGCCTTCTGTCGCTTCTGCGACGTGGGTCCCGCCTGGTCGGCGGCGGTCATGATGACGCCATCCGCGACCAGCGTGGAATCATACCGTATCTCTCAACGGAATCGGGGGTGACGCTCCGTTTTGCCTGGAGTGACGCTCGGGGGTGACGCTTTCGGGAGCGTCACCCTGACCCGGGCAGAAAAAAACTAAAACCCATATGGACCGGCATGCCATTCGGGAGCCTAAACCCTAAAATTTTTTGTTTGAGGCTCCCGAATGGCATGCCGTCCATGTGGGGTTTATTTTTGTTGCCCCGGGCAGTTTGTCGTTTTGTCGTCTGCTCTTTGTCGTTTCCTCGCCCCCTCCATTCCGTTGAGATATACTAGGCTATACAGACCATGGGCTTGTTCCTAGTTTTTACTCGAAGTGTTATCGATGCCCGTAATTGTTATTATGACGCGTATTTTTCCAACGAAAATATAGCCCTCCCCTCCAAACCAAACCCAACTTATCAAAACCTTCGACATGCTCGGGACCTTGCTGGTTCGGAACCTGCGCTGCTTTGGTGTTTTCCCGCCAAGCCTGAAGATTCTGGTTCGTAGTGCGTTTTGGCGTGCTTCGGCTGTGTTCCAGGTCGGGCCACAACGAGCCACATCCGAGGCTCGCGTGAGCCTGAAGTCGCATTCTACCCATCACCTTGCGTACTCTCGCCCTGCTCCCCGCCAAATTCGCGTCATCATCTCTAGTCCGAGTCTCGGCCGTATTTCTCGCAGCCATGCGCATCCACGCCCTCACCTCCAAGCGTCACGCCTCTGCTTCCCATCCCCTCCTTCAACTTGATACTTACACCCGTCGATTCCTCGCGTCCTCCTCGTCTTCTCGTTGTTCACAGCACGCTCCGTCGTTTCTTCGCATACCCCCGTGACTCGTTTTCTCTGCGTACATGGCGCCATCTCTCTCCAGCTCCCCCCTGCGTGCGGGCGCGAGTTCGAACGCGAGTCGGCGCGCGATAGTGTTTTACGACGTCGAGACGACCGTGCCGGCCGCGCGAGGCGAGAAGCACGCGATGCTCGAATTTGCCGCTGTCGAGCTCGAAATCGAGGGTTTCTATGAAACTTCGAGCTATTCCACGTACCTGCGGCCGCCAGAAGGGGTCCGTATCTCGCGACGGACGGTGGAGATTAACGGAATCACGAGCGACACGGTGCGCAACGCGCCGAGCTTCGGCGAAGTGGCGGATAGGATCTATGAGCTCATGGACGGTGCGTGCCGGTGACGTCAACTTTTAAATCGAGTTCCGCCCCTGGTTTTGTCGTAGCCATTTTCATCAATTGGCCACTTCCCCCCCCCCCTCCCCCTCCCCCTTCTCCCTGCTGTCCCTCGAGATCGCCTCGTCTTTTTCCTAGTCTCCTTGATATACCCTAACCGTCGTGCCTCATAAGTCTTCTCCCCGTGCTCGTTCGGACGGCAGGCACGGTGTGGGCGGGGCACAACATCAGCCACCTTACTTAGGCACCTTAAGAACCCCACTCTGCTCCCCCGCTCACCCCACTCTGCTCCCCCGCTCACCCCACTCTGCTCTCCCGCTCACCCCACTCCGCTCCCCCGCTCACCCCACTCTGCTCCCCCGCTCACCCCACTCTGCTCCCCCGCTCACCCCATTCTGTCCTCCCCGCACGCCAGGCAAGGTGTGGGCGGGGCACAACATCAGCCGCTTCGACAACGCGCGCATCCGAGAGGCCTTCAGCTCCCTCGCCCGCGCGCCGCCCGTGCCCGCTGGCGTGGTGGACACGTACGACCTGCTGAGACGGGAGTTTGGCACGCGAGCTGGCAACATGAAGGTGTGTTGTGTGTGTGACGTGCGAATGAGAGGGGTTGGGTGGCGAGGGCAGTGGATATGGAGGGCATGTTAACGTGTTGCCAGGCATTTCTCCCGGCTGGCGTGGTGGACACGTACGACCTGCTGCGACGGGAGTTTGGCATCAGAGCTGGCAACATGAAGGTGAGTGGTGCTGCGGTGCCATGTGCTGTGTTCTGTGCAAGTGAGAGGTGGTAACATGAATGAAGGTGAGGGTGGCGCGGTGATGGCAGTGGATGGAGCACATGTCAACGCTTCACATGTTCCCGCCCGTGCCAGCTGGCGTGGTAGACACGTACCTCCTGTTGAGGCAGGAGTTGGGCACCAGAGCAGGCGACATGAAGGTGAGGGTTTCTGTTGTGCTGTGTGTTGTGCGAATGAGAGGTGGCAACATGAGTGAATGTGAGCGGGGGGGGGGTAGGAGCGTTGGATGCAGGCCAGGCTAGAGCTTGGCGTGCCTGTGCCTGTACCTGCTGGATGGCGTGGTGAACACTACGACTTGCTGTGGTGGGATTTGGGCATGCGCGCTGGCTTCATGAAGGTGTGTTGTGTGTGTGCTGTGCGGATGGGAGGTGGTGATGAGAGGTGGTAATGAGAGGTGGGAATGATAGGTGGGAATGAGAGGTGGTAACTTGATTATGCCTTGTGCTGTGCGAATGAGCATTGGTAACATGCATGTCTCTCGCATCGCATGGCCCCTCCAGTGTATTCCTGCTGGCGTGGTGGACAGCACTCATACGGCCTGCTGAGAGGGGAGTCCAGAAGGTACGCTGTGTGCTGCGGAACGGGGGAAGGGGGTCACACACGCGTTGATGCGGAGGGGGGAGCTTGCGATGAGTGTTGGCAGCATGAAGGCGCAGGGCAAGGGCAGGAGTTGGGCGGCAGTGTTGGCAGCCTGAATGTGAGGGCTGGTGGTGGGGCAATGAGCGAGGCCAGATGTGAGGCGGACACGGCTCGCCACTACCCGTGTGTGATGGATGCGTGTGATGGATGCGTGTGATGGATGCGTGTGTGTGGTGAAGAGTGACCTCGGTCGGTACAGGGATGATTGTACACACACACGACCAGTTGAAAGATAAGGGTTTGGTACTGGAGCGGTGAGCAAGCCTGCCTGATCCGGGGAGGAGAGGGGATGAAGGAGGGGGAGAGGTGGGGTGCCGCCTTTGGGCTGGTAGCTGCAGTCAGACTGCTTCTTTCTCATCACTCTCCTCGGCCTTTTTGTCACCTTTCTTCTCTGATGATCTGATCATATTTTCTCGTCAATCTTCGTGGTGCACTCCCCCTCGTTCCTTCCGTCTACTTGTTCCCTCTCCTCGCCTGTGTCCCAACAGATGGCATCGCTGGGAGCCTACTGCGGCCTGGGCATGCAAGTGCACAGGTGGGCCCTGAGCCTAGCTGAGTCAGCTGTGAGGTGGGTTGAGTCAAGCTGAGTCAGCCATGAATTGGGCTGAGTCAAGCCATTGCAGGTCAGGTCTTCCAGGGTTGGATGCTGAGTGCAGAGGCGGGGCTCACCTCTAGAGTCGTGAGTTGTGAGTCATGAGAGCGGGGTGAGTGAGAGGTCTAAGTAGCGCGAGTTGACCTCAAGATGCTGCTGCTGCTGTCAGTTTGCACATAGCTCCGTTCGTGTCTTGTGCTGTTGACTATGTTAATAGTGCTGATTACGTTGACTGTGTTGACTGCACTGACTGAGTTGACTCTGTTGACTTCCTTCACTGTGTTGACTGCGTGGCATGGCAGGGCGATGGAGGATGTGCGGATGAACATTGATGTCTTCAAGCAGTGCTCCGCCATGCTCATGCTGGTGAGCTGCCCTTGCTGTCCCATGCTCGCATGCACATGCACTATCGTGCTCCCTCCTAGTTAAATTTGAACCACTGGATGTGGTAATATAAATACAACTGCGGTTTTGGAAACTATTTTTCCTCTAGAGTCGTGGTCCTATGGTCTAGTGGTTATGACGTCAGACTCTGAATCTGAAAGGCCGAGTTCAATTCTCGGTAGGACCTCCTTTATGAGACCTGCTTGGGATTTGAACGCCACCTGGAAATAGACTCTGGCTGATGTGTAAACACATTTCAAAGAGTTTTTTTTGTTGGAAAATCGTGGACAAATGTTGTGGAAATTACATGGCATCATGCATACTCTTTCCCTGCATCACATCTGCCTCCTTTACTTTCTCCATCCCGTTCTCCCCTTCCATCCACCTCTCCCCTTCCATCCACCTCTCCCCTTCCATCCACCTCTCCCCTTCCATCCACCTCTCCCCTTCCATCCACCTCTCCCCTTCCATCCATTCTTCGTATGCAGGAAATGTGTCACCCTGCCCTCTTCCAGGCGCCCTCCACCCCTCCTCGCAGCAAGACACCCCCACGGCACACCGCCACCGCTGCTGCGACTGCAGCTGTGAAGGCAGCAGCTGCTTCAGCAGCCAACGCAGTGGCAGCAGCAACACCAGCAACACAGAAACCAGCAGCAGCAAAGAACGCCTCACCAGCAGTCTCATCCCTAGCAGGAGCAGCAACAGCAACAGCAAAATCAGCAGCAGGTGTATCCTCACCCAGTGCTCTATCTCCTGCTGTTAGTGCCGCTGCGTCATCGGCTGTGGTGGTGTCTGCCACGTCAGCTTTGCTAAGTCAGGCGTTTGAGTCCTTGAAGATTGACTCTGCTGCCACGTGTCAGAACCGAGCAAAGTCGGAGGAGGGAGATGCTGAGAGGGAACTTGAGGATGGGGAGGTGGTGGGGGAGGAGGAGGAAGAGGAGGAAGAGGAGGAAGAGGAGGAAGAGGAGGAAGGGGAGGAATGGGAGGAATGGGAGGATTGTGAGAATGAGGAAGCAAGGTCGTACGAGAAAGAGAAGCACATAGAGAGCATTCCTTTGAGCAAGGGAGTGGGCAGAGAGGCCGGCGAGGCACAGGGGGAGGGGGGGAGCGAGGGCCAGGTGGCAGCAACCCGAACAACAGCATGGCAGGCAGGTGTGGGCGAGTGTGTGGTGTGTCCGCAGTGGTGGCAGCAGCAGCAGGAGCAGCACGCCAAGGAGGGCGCGCCCTGGGCCATCACATGCACTCACTTCGACCCCTTCTGGCTGCAGGCACTGTGCGCGCCTGCTGCTGGTGGTGGTAGTGATGCTGCAGGCGGCAATGCAGGGAATGGCAGCGGCAGAGGCAGCGGGTGGGGAGGGGGCAGGCGGTACAGCTTGAGGGGAGGGAGTGCTCGCGTGTACCCGAATGGCTTCATGACACAGTCACCATCTGCTGCTGATGATGCCGGTGCTGCTGGTTATGGTGGTGGTGCAGCGGAGTGTGCACCGGCACGTGTGCTGCTGCTGTACAACGGGCGGTCGCTGCACGTGAGGGAGTGCAGCGCGCGGATCAAGATGAGGTGAGCGAGGCTCACGTGTGACGAAGGTTTGGGTGTTTCAGTTTTTGCTGAAATATAGACAGGCTGGTTGAACCCAAACGAAGTCGCGTTCGTTGGCTGTGAGTTGCCTGGAATCAGTTTCTGAGGTAAGGGTAAGGCAGTTGTAACAAGGTTGTTGAAATCATGGAGATTGTAGCAGCGACAATCATAGGTACCTGATGGGAGGTGAAAGGACTTTAAGGGAGAAGGGGAGGATGGATAAATTGCCTCGTTCTCTCTCCCTCTTCTTTGTTCGCCTGCCTTCTCGTACTCCTATCTCCTTTCGCCACTCCCAGTTTTCACCTCAGCCCGCATTCTCTTTCATTCCTTCTGTACCCCTTTCTGGGCCTTCAGTTAGTTTGTATTGCTCTGCGTCAACTCCAGACTTCTCAATCTTTCTCATCTCTCCCCCCTACTCTCCCTCATGCACGAATCCCTTCCCCTCTCCCTCCCCTCCTCCTTCCCTCCACACCAGCATGTCGGACTTGCCTTTGACGAGGCGACTGGCCGCCCGTCCTTCTCGCTGCTCCCCCTCACTTGCCCATCTCCCCCAGCTCCCCCACTTTCCCCATCTTCCCCTCTCTTCCTCCCCTCCCTCACCAATGTGTCAGACCGCTTTGCCTTTGATGAGGCAACGGGTCGACTGTCCTTCTCCCTTCCACCCTCTCCTGCCCATCTCCCCCCTCTCACCCCCCTCCCATCTTTCCCTCTTCCCCCTCGCAACCCCCTTCCCCCCATCCTCCCCTCTCCCTCCCTTCCCCCTTCCCTCCAGTGTGTCGGACCGCTTTGCCTTTGATGAGGCAACGGACCGGCCGTCCTTCTCGCTGCTGCTCGCCATCTCGCCCGCCGCTGCTGCCGCCATCACTGCTTGCTTTGACGCACTGCTGGCGTGCATGGGGAGTGGCGAGGGCGCTGCTGCACGAGGGGAGGAAGGCCGCGTGGAGGGCGCAGGCGAGGAGGGGAGCGGCGGGGGGTGCGGGGAGGAGGTGCGATCGCCCTTTGTGGTGGCGTGGGAGGAGGAGGACGGCACGAGAGTGATCCGCGTCAAGTGAGTCAAATGCTGGGCGAATGCAAGAGGGGCTGTTGTACAGTTACTGGTTACTGGTTATTGGTTATTGGTCAAGCCGATTCCCAATTCCAGACGAGTGGGGGTTGGTGGGCTCCGTGTGACTGCGTGCCGTGTGCGATGTGTGGGCATTGTTCGTCGGTCAATTTGGAAAAGGGGAGGGAAAGGGGGTCGGGGTCTCAGGGTTGTGTGGGGTGGGGGTTGTGGGTGGGAGGTCCATCGTGACTGGTGGGGAAGGCGTTAAAAGTCAGCTGTCAGGGGTGTGTGTGGCGCTTGAGTGATGGCTTGCTCGCCCTACTTGACGTTGCTCACACCATCTCGCTTCCCCTTCTGCACTCTCACCTCTGAATCTCCTCAAATTCCTCTCCTTGACCTCCTCCCTCTCTCCCCTTTCCTTCTCCCCCCTCTGAACTTCTTCTCAACCCTCCCTTTCACGTCCTCCGTTCCTTCCTCGCTTGTCCATCCCCATCCCCCACCGCTTCTGGCCAGGCTGGCAGCTGATGGCGTGAGGGGGAATGCTGAGTGGCGCACCAAGTTCTTCTCCTGCGCTGCACCGCACACGACCACTCTCAACACCACCAGCAACAGCAGCAACCAGCAGTCACCACCTGGATCGCAGAACCTTCACCTGCCAGTGGAACCTCAGCAGCTCCATCTGCCTGTGGACCCACACACTGTGGCGGCAGCGCTACCAGCAGGAGCGGTGGTGGACGTGGCCTTTCTCGTGGACTCCTACTGTGTCAATGGCACCAGGGGGCTGCGTTTCGTGGCAGATGTGATTGTCGTGAGGGGGTGAGCAGAAGCCGTTGGGGAACGGACCGGCCCCTCACATGGCGCTTGCATGAGCAGGTGGTGATGCAATGCACGAAGTGCTGGAGGTGGATGTGATGCAGGGAGTGCTGGAGGTGGATGTGATGCAGGGAGTGCTTGCCCTCCCCCTCCCTCTCCAGTCACGACCCCCACTGCATGGTCTTTCATTTCCCTCCTGCTGATGTCACTGTATGCGTGGCTTGTCGGGTTGATGCTCACTGCGTGTAGGGGATTGGAGGACTAGAGGACTTGCTGTAGGCTTGTAGCAGAGGTGATTGTAGCGAGGGTCATGGAGAACTGGAGGCAAATTATGGAGGCTAGAGGTTCTAGAAAGGTGTGTTAGCTTAAGAACAAATATTGAGAAATGATATATTTGTATACTACCACTTGAATAGTCAGCACCAAATACTACCACTTTGGGCCTTCAGCTGTTGCATAATCGCAACATGCCCTGCCCAACTCGGCCACTGGGATCTTTCGTCAGCCCTGCCTGTCTTCACCCGTGCCCTTTCACTACAATCCCTACCACACGCCCTTCACTAGAATCACGTCATCCTTTCCCAGCAGTTGCAGCACCCCTTCAAGCTGTGAGCACCTGGGCACACCGACCTTCCCCAGACAGGACAAACTGCCCAGGGCCGTTCGTGTGCAGCGATGTGCTGTGCAGCCTTGAGGAATGTTTGTTGGGGGATGGAACGAGGGAAAGGGAGGAGGGAGAGGGAGGGGGGAGAGGAAAGAGTGGAGGTGGCGCAGGCAAGGCAAATAGACGAGCTCCATAAGGGAGGATGAGCGGAGGTACTGTATTGAGCACACTTATGCTGTCCCGACACAAAGCTATATCCCACTGAGGTCACTTCCATGCTATGGCAATGTTACTGCCACTTATTCTACTTGCAAGTTACTGTCACTTATTCTACTTGCAAGTTACTGCCACTTATTCTACTTCTGCCTTCCACCGTTGCACCATGCAGCCTTGCATCGCACCTTCAGTGCAGATGTGTCATGGTGCGGTGCCGGATGGACATGTATAATAGTGCATATGTGTCATGGTGCAGACTAGTCTGAGACCACAAACACCCAATTGATAGTGCATACATCCACCAGGTGCAATCTGAAACAAAACGGTCTCGGCTTAATGCTAACTTTGTCACATGCGCTAGAGATCCATAGGTAGTGGTAATGACGGGCATGCCGCCACTCCTAAGCAACAGAAAAGCAAACTGCTGCTCAGAAGTACACGACTCGTGACACTCGGAAATCAGTGGGGAGGAAGGATGAAACAGTGCAGCAGACATGCAATCAGCAGCATCCGTGATTCCGTGAGCACGCATTTCCATCATTGAGCAGCTGGAGATACTCGCTGATGCGGAGAGCGAGGATGATGAAAGCTGAAAAGTGGAGAAACCGCCAAGAGTGGGAGGCAGTGACGAGAGTGGTGATCTTGGCACTGTGCACCGGTTGAATCGGGCGTGCAGAGAGGGAGAGGTGATGACAGGCGGGGCAGGCAGGGGCAGGCAAGACAAGGCAGGGGCAGGCAAGACAAGGCAGGGGCAGGCAAGACAAGGCAGGGGCAGGCAAGACAAGGCAGGGGCAGGCAAGACAAGGCAGGGGCAGGCAAGACAAGGCAGGGGCAGGCAAGACAAGGCAGGGGCAGGCAAGACAAGGCAGGGGCAGGCGAGACAAGGCAGGGGCAGGCAAGACAAGGCAGGGGCAGGCAAGACAAGGCAGGGGCAGGCAAGACAAGGCAGGGGCAGGCGAGACAAGGCAGGGGCAGGCAAGACAAGGCAGGGGCAGGCAAGACAAGGCAGGGGCAGGCGAGACAAGGCAGGGGCAGGCAAGACAAGGCAGGGGCAGGCAAGACAAGGCAGGGGCAGGCAAGACAAGGCAGGGCAGGGAAGACGAAGGAAGATGAAGGCTGAAATGAGGCAATGCATGCTGCCTGAAACAGCACCCAGTTGAAGAGAGGCACGGTCATGGGTAGGATCAATGGATGACGCCAGTGGGGGTAAAGGAGAAAAAGTCAGGCAGGACAGATGGTAGCCTGGAATATAAACAGGGGAACCAACCTCTGCCCCCACCCACCTGCACCATATGTGCGTGCCGCACCCACCTGCACCCCACCCACCTGCACCGGGGCCACAACGGCCTCATTCAGCCGCAAGCGAGTCCTCCAGCCGACGCAGCTGCACCAGACCCGCAGGAAGGGAGGGGAGGGAGGTGTCCTGCAGCAGCACCAGCTGCTGCACGTGGGTGAGGCTCTCAGGGAAGTGCTGCAAGGCGGTGCAGCGAATCAACTCCACTTTGCGCAGCTGGGACAAGCAGCTCACGCCCTCAGGTAGTGAAGTGAGCTGTGGTGCATGGACGGTCAATGACGTCAGCTTTGAGAGCTCTAGTATGACGCGTGGCAGCTCTTCCGGCGCCCATGAAAGAAGCTTCAGCTGCCGTAACTCTGGCACCGCTGCTGCCATGTTTACCGGGAGGCTGCGGATTCCCGGCGCGTCTATGAGCAAGCTGCGCAGGTGAGGAAGAACATTTGAGGGAAGCAGGAATTCCTGACTCATTCCTTCGAGACGCATCTCGAGCTCCTCCAGCTGATTCAGGCTTACTCCTTCAAACTCCTGCTCCAGCTGCTGAATCGGCCCCTGCTGTCCCAGGACCAACAACCTCTCGGCCGCTGCATGCCCACATACAACCCCAACGCACTTCAGCTTCAGCACCCTCAGCTGTGACAGCTTGGAAATATCCACAACAAGGGAAGAGCCTTCCCTGAAGGGCCCCAAGCAGAGGGTCTCAAGAGAGGGGGGCAGACCAGCAGGGGCTTCACTCAGCTGCCGACATCCCGTCAGCTCCAGCCGCTTCAGCCACACGAGCGCATCCAGCCCCATGGGTACTTCCGAGAGCGAGTTGCAGTTTCTGACCTCGAGGGTGTGAAGTGCAGTAAGCCGTGTTAGGGAGCCAGGAAGCTGGCTGACTGCAAGCTGAACGATCTTCAGCTCCTGTAGACTGCTCAGCTCCCCCAAGGCTTCTGGAAGCTCGGCTGGCCAGCATTCGTTCAGGTCAAGGCTTGTGAGGGAGGAGAGGGTGGTGAAGGAAGCCGGAAGCCGGCAGCCATGCAACCTGAGAGCCTCCAAGCTGCCAAGGCCCCCAACATTCTCTGGCAAGGCAAGACCCTGATTCGATTCTGAGAAGCAGAGCACCTTGAGAGCCGTGAGACACAAGGCATCTGCTGGCACCTGCCAAAACTCCCTGCACTCAATTATGAAGAGTGCTTCCAGAGTCGTAAGATGAGAGAATGAAGGCGGGAGTGCGGTTAAAGGCAGATGCTCCAGCACCAGGAGTTTTAAAGCGGGCAGGTGATCGAAGCTGCTGGGTAAGGTATTAAATTCGTAACAACCTGAGATGATGAGAGTTTCCAGGCTCAGAAGAGTGACGGTTTCAGGCAGGTGAGTGAAATCACCGCATTCGCGAACCGTCAGCTTGCGAAGGCACGGCATAAATTCTCCGATGCAGTCTGGAAGTGTTTCTAACCCATCGCAGCTGGTGATGAGCAGCTCCTCTAGCCCCGCGAACTGCCATGCTGATGAGAAGACCATGGCGTCCTCATAAGGACACTTCGTTAAGAACTCGAGAGATTTAATGCACGACGGCAGCGGCACGCTTGTGGCACACGTCGGCTGATGGTTAGAGCGTGGGGTGAAGGTGGAAAGATGGGCCAATCGCGGGAGGTGGAGGAGTTTGGACAAGTGCTGACGGGTGATGGGGACTGTGATGTACGCAGTGGTGAGCGCAGTGAGGTTTTCGAAACCTGGACTCTCCAACAGTGAAGCGTTATTGACAACAAGGCAGTCCAGATGTCTGAGCTGGAAGACTGAGTCTGGTAACTTTGTTCCTCTTGGGAGGCAGAAGAGGGAAAGCTGCTTCAAGTCCGGGAGCTTCTGGATGAACAAATCCAATCCCTCCGTACTTATACGATTCCTCTCCCTCCTGCGATAATGGTACACAGGAAATCCGTCGCCCTCGTTACACGGTAGTGCAAAGGTCCTCCCCACGTGGAGCCGAGTCAGCTTCGGGCACGAATCAGCGAGGTGAGCGAGGAAGGCGTCGCCGATGCTGTTGTCGCTGAGATGCAGATGAGTGAGGTTCGGGAAGCACGCGACGGCAGCTGAGACATCTTCGCAAGATACCGCGAGGCCTTCTTTGACGAGTAGCGTGGTCACGTGAAGCTTCATCACGCGGCGCCAACGACTGCAGACAGACGCCGCGATGAAGAGATCTTGAGTCACGTCTGAGTCTGGAGGAGAAGCTGGCACTGGCGTCTTGACTATCACATTTGTTTGATTTGAATACTCATCGGAAAGCGACCAATAAATAGAACTGGAGGTCCAGACGCTGTCAACGTAGGATTCGCAGGAAACGGGCTGCTTGAAGGAGCGCGTAATGATCATAAGGAGAATATCGTCTGGCAGACTGTGGATGCTCGTAGGAGTCTCCATCTTGGATGCCAAAATGAGAAAATGCGATTGGAACGACAAGGCGTAAAAAGGAATCGGAGGATTAGGAGGTACTAGTACTTGGGAAGAAATCGGCCAGATCCCTCCGAGAACCCCCCTTTGCCGCTGCGGGATTTCTCTCGCGGGATTTCCTTTTTCCCGCAGTCGCGTAGCGGGCGGGGCACGCGAGGGCAGGGAGGCAGCCACCCCGCTCGCCCGAAATGAGCCCCGCCAGCTCGGAGTGACGCGAGGTGGTCCCCGCTCGAGCTGGCGTTGACCCCACGTGCTCCCCCCTCGCCCCCTTTTCCCGTCGAGATAATCCGTCTCCGTCGACGGATTCCGTCTCGACTCGACGGAAATGAAGCAGAAAACGACAAGGCTGAAACGCGCCATTGCGTGATTTCCTACAGAGCACGGCTGCCTTCGAAATAAAAACGTGTATGTAAACATGTAAAATTAAACAGCAATAGAGAGACTCAATGAGAAATTAAAGGGCCTGTAAAATTGGGCAAGGCGTCAGAAAAATGGCCATACTAATGTTATTTCATCGCTTCACAAACAAAAACTTTCTAAATTTGAATTATATTTTTGTTTCTAGCGCGTCACTTTTTTTTCCGCGCGCGCCTCGGTTTCTAGCGCGCGCGTCACTGTTTTTAGCGCGCGCCACTGCTGCAGAGCCGCGCGCCGGCCCGCGTCGCCCGCGCGCCCGCGTAGAGCCCGCGCGCCCCTTACGCCGCCCGCGCGCAGCCTGCTTAGGCCCGTCGCCACGCGCAGCCAGGAGCCGCACGCAGCCCGTCGCCACGTGCAGCCAGGAGCCGCGCGCAGCACGTAGCCACGCGCAGCAGAGAGCCGCGCGCAGCCCTCAGCCGCACGCAGCCAGCAGCCGCGCGTGCCCTACTCGTGTACCTGCCTGTGAGGCTCACTGCTGCCGAGCCCGCTGCCTTAGAACTGTGCGGCCTGCTACTGTCTAGAGCGCCACCTTAGGAGCTCGAGTGCAGCAAGCAACTGCCCTACACGTTGCCTGTACTGCCTGCTGCCTACTGCCTCTGTCTTAGCCTGCTGTCTACTGCCTGCTGCCTCGTGTCTACTGCCTGCCTGCTTTCTGCTGCCTTTGCCTGCTGCCGTTATGACGACGCCTAATGTTCTCGCGTTCGAACCTGACGGTCGCCCCATAGAGTTCGCTGTGTGGCTAGACGACCTGCAACTGTTCCTTCTGACCGATGCCAAAGAGGGCGTTTCACTGTTCGATTACGTGTCTGGCACTGCCGTTGCTCCTGCTGCCGATGCTCCTGCTCTCGAACGCTCGCAGTGGCAGACTCGCGATGCTGCTGCACGCCTAGCTATTAGGAACCATCTGCCGATCACTGAGCGCGCGCATTTCAGCCAGCACAAAACTGCTAAGACACTGTACGACGCTGTAGTTGCGCGCTACTCCTCCCCGGCCACTGCAGCCATAGGTCGACTCATGCTACCCTACCTGTTCCCCGACCTTTCCTCGTTCACCACTGCTGAGGACCTCATTTCCCACCTGCGCGCTACTGACACTCGCTTTCGTGCCGCCCTCTCAGCCGAGTTCTGCGCCGCAACCCCCCCCCCGATGTACTTCACTCTCTATTTCCTCGTTACCCGCCTCCCTGACACTCTTAGCTCGGTCAGGGACCACTTCCTAGCGCTAGACCCCCCCACTCTCACTGTCGACGACTTCGAGAAGCACCTCCTTGCAGCAGAGAAGAACATCCTCGCTGTAGGTGCTGCTCGTGGCACTCCTCGCTCTCCCCTCTTTGAGGGGTGCTCCCCCTCCCCTCTCACCCCCTCCTACGCCTCCGCAGCTGCTGCTCACGACTACCTTGGTGCTGAGGAGGTCGGGGCTGCTACCGCTCCTAGTGGTAAGCGTCGCAGCAGCAGGGGCGGCAAGGGTGGCAGGGGAGGTGGGGGTGGCGGTGGAGGTGGCGGTGGAGGTGGCGGCGGGGGAGGTGGAGGTGGTGGAGGCGGTCGTGGGGGTGGAGGTGGTGGAGGTGGTGGTGGGGGCAGCGGAGGCACTGGGAGCGGTGGAGGTGGCAGCAGCGGCGGAGGGGGAGGAGGGAGCGGTGGTGGAGGTGGTGGTCAGGGCCAGCAGCAGTCGCAGCAGCAGCAGCAGCAGCGTCAGCGCCAGACCCCCACTTCCCAGCAGCTTCTTGACTGGTATGCTGGGCGTGGGGCTTCTGGGGGTCCTGGTCGCTGCCCCTATATGATTCGCACAGGTCCCCGCACTGGTCGCCAGTGCACAGGGTTTCACACTGAGCAGCGCTGCTTCGCTCGGCTTAGCGACGCCTGGCGCGCCAAGTTTCCTGATGCTACTGAGTTCCCCAACTGGGCAGACCTGCTTAGGCGTGATGTACCTATCTTTGATCTTGACTATGAGGCTATTCTTGCTGCCATGTATGCATTGACTGTTAGTGCTGAGGGTGACTGCTACTTGTGTGTGCCGCCTGACCCAGGTATAGCCCCAGGTATAGCGCCTGTGGCACTAGGTGCTTGTGAGTCTGGTCCCCCTGGTACTGCGTCCGCACAGGCCTTGCACACCTTCAGACTTGACTCTGGTGCTTCCCGCTGCTTCTTTCGCGACAGCACCACAGTCACTCCTCTCCCTGCACCTGTTCCTGTCTCGCTGGCTGACCCCTCTGGGGGCCCAGTGCTTGCACGGTCTTCCACTGTGCTTCCGTGTCCGGCAGTCCCGTCTGGTGAGCTGTCTGGTCTCCACCTCCCCTCGTTCTCTACGAACTTGGTGAGCAACGCCGTCCTTCAGGATCACTGGGTTGACACCTTTACTCTTGGAGGACAGCGTGTGGCGATCTGCACGTGCTCCCGGACCGGCCGTCACCTGGCCACGTTCACACGTGCGCCTGGGTCTAGTCTGTAGACCCTCACCACTGCGTCACGCTACACCCCCTTGTCCCCCCAGCCCGCGTCCTTGGACAGGGCCACGAGCGGTACTTCCTGCTGGTCGTCGACGACTACACGCGTTACACCACGGTCTTCCCCTTGCGCAGCAAGGGGGAGGTCCCTGATGTTTTGATCCCCTGGATCCGCGCTGTTCGTCTCCAGCTCCGCGAGCGGTTCCAGTCGGACTTTCCTGTCCTGCGTCTGCACTCTGACAGAGGTGGTGAGTTCTCCTCAGACCTCTTGGCAGCCTTCTGTGCGGAGCACGGCATCCGCCAGACGTTCACGCTTCCGGCCTCTCCGCAGCAGAATGGGGTTGCTGAGCGCCGCATTGGCTTAGTCATGGAGGTCGCTCGTACCTCCATGATCCATGCGGCTGCCCCCCATTTTCTGTGGCCGTTTGCGGTCCGGTACACCGCGCATCAGCTCAACCTCTGGCCCCGTGTCTCCTTGCCGGAGACCTCGCCCACACTGCT